CTCTCTCTCTCTCTCTCTCTCTCTCTCTCTCTCTCTCTCTCTCTCTGAGATGTGAGGTGATGCTGCCTCTCTCGCTCTCAGCAGCTCGACCTCCAAACCTTCAGATATATAATCCCGACCCCTCGGTTAAACACCTGGACCTGTACGGGAGAGACGCCGCAGCTCCAATCTGCCGGCCTGATGGACCCGTGTGATGACTTCAGATTGGAATCAATTTCACTCTGAGAGCGTCTGAATGAAACCGTGTCGCGTGGGAGAGAGAGAGAAACTCGCCTCCCAGCTCGCTGTGGACGGAGTGATGGTGATAAAAACATTTAAGACTCCGCTGCCTTTATCTTCATCTTTTTCCCCCGAAGCCTCCGAGATCAGCCTGAACCGATCTGAACTCACACAGACCTTCCTTCTTAAACAGACCTAACGCCGCGACTTCTCCGTCTCATTATGAGTCCTGTATTCGTACGTTTACTTCAGTAAAGGACCTTAATGCTTCCTGCACCACTGCACTGATGCTTCAACAGTGAAGTGACCAATTCACTTTATTTTACAGTCCCGCCATGTCTTGATCATTTCCTCCCAAGTTTCCTGGAAAGAAGTATTTTCCAAGAAAACATTCTTTGGAAGAAATGCTTCATTCAAACCCAAATAAATATTCACTGATCATATATTTATGATGGTAAACTCTGCTCCATACATGTTGAACTGTTTGCTTGAAGTTACATCTTTTGGTTTGCAAGCTGCAACAGAAACACAACATTTAACTACCTGCTTTGGTTTCCGTGTGAATGTTTCTCACATAGGTACCTTCAGTCTTGCTTGAAAATAGTTTTACCTTTTTGTGTCTTTGCTCCAGTTCCACCTCCTTAAAAAACCTCTCAGACGGCTCCGCTGTTTAAACAATCGAGGTCAGACCAAACAGACCTGATTATTTTCAGCTTCCCTCGAGATTTCCTGCGACAATGGGCCGGCTAGTCGCCGTGCCTTCCAAAAAAACAAAAAAAGAAAGACAGAAAATCCACTCCGGAGCCAATTAAGTTGGAGCAGCTTCACAGTCGGAGGTTTGGCTCTTCTGCAGCCACTCCTGTGCTTTACTTTGCTTCCTGACAGAAGCACAAAGTTCATCTTTAAAAACCCGCCACCGCTCTCGTGTACCTTCCCCCGGGGGGGCAACGCTGCAGGAACGACTTCACGAACTTCAAGTATGTTTGTAGCGGCGGAGTCTTCAGTTGGAGTTCAATGATGTGACGATGGAGAAAACATCAACTTTTTTTACCGAACCTTGAAGGGAAACCACAGAACAGGAAGTCATTTCATTAAAGGAAATGAATAAAAGCTGTGATGAAGAAGAAGGCCGTGAGATTAAACCACATCCACCTTTTTGTGCCAGCTTTCTCAGGAGCTGAACAATCTGTCAAACATAGAGATAGATAATAAAACCTGCTTTTAACCCGTTTAATATTGTCAGTTAAGTCTTCTCCCATGGCTTCACCATTATATCCTGTCAACAAACACAGGCTCTGTTGTCAGATCAGTCTCTTCATAGATGTGATCCTTACGTTTGTTAAGAGTCACCAAGCAAACTGGAGTCGCAGCAGTGTCGTAAACAGCGACAGGTGGATATGTAGTTTCTCACTTTTATACTCATCTTCATCCTCAGCTTCAGCTCTTAGACTGAGAAGACTTTAATGTCCCCAAAGGGGACATTTGTGGTCCAGAATAGTAAACAATAAACATCATTTGACAATATTAAAACACATAAAAACAGAGACAACAACAACGTTGTCAGTAAATACTCTTGCTGCTCATTCTATCTGCTATACCTGATTTCTCCACAATATTAAAGGTGCTCAGTATGAAGTTACTATACTATTGCTTCCGCACAGCTCTCAACATGTCTCCGTTTGTTTTCTTTCAGGTGGGGTTTGCATCGCTCAGTCTCTGAAGGTCCTTCGGGAGCCGAGACCCGGCGAGTTCGACAAGATCGTCCTGCGTCTGCTGGAGACGCCCAACGCCCGCGCCGTCATCATGTTCGCAAACGAGGACGACATCCGGTAAAGAACGCACACGGTTGTTTACTAAGTCTCGACCCTGAATGTGAGACAGCAAGACACTGCTTAGTTTACAGAAACAGATCTTTAGATCGTTAAAGAGGTACAGAGGGTGAAAACATGGTGACATTAGGTTTAGTCCCTCCTTCTCTACCTCCACCTTCCTTCCTCTACTTCCACCTTCCCTCTCGATCTCCTCCTCTCATATGTCCTCCTTCCTTTCTCCTCCTTTCCTTGGTAAACGATAGTAAAGCAACAGCTGAGGGTGATCAAATAATGGTAATTAGACAGAGCGGTGCTAACAAAACATCAACAATCCGGGAGTCTGCCATCTTTGTTACCGTTCCTGGCGCATGTTCATTAGACAGAGCAGCAATGGGCCTGCGCGAATTGGGGAGATGATGTCATCTTTTCCCAAATGATCTGCTTTAGATGTCCACACTGATACAAAGCAACCAGAGTTTTAAAAAATCCACAGCTTAGTGGGCGTTCTCAAAAATATCCATTTCGTTGACATGAAACTCCTTTTTTGGGTCGCCTGAAGACATCTTATTCGGTGTTCGGTTGTACTAAGCTCCACCATCTCAAGTCACGTCTGGTTGCAAACAGACACGATGGTGACGACCTAAAGCCAAGATGGCGACGGTTCAAAACCAGAGTCCACAAACCAATGTGTGACGTCATGCTGACGAGGTTCTTATGCAGTTCATGATCAAACAGGTTTTCTTAAATAAAGACTCACAGACTCACTGGCGTCGGCTGTAAATGTTTACCATTTGGTCCAATTTATTCATTTAGATTATTTTATTTTTTTGCACGTTATTATTTTCTTTTCTAAACGTTTTTAGAAATAATTTGTTGCTTATTCCTAATTCCCAGTGTGACACTGCTTTAAATACACACTACTGACGCCCACTTCCCTCCAGTTCATCTGCAACGAGTCTCTAAATATAACACACACACTCAGTTCACACTTCAGTATAAAACAGATTAAGATAACAAGCTTCCAATTATCTGAGCCGAGAGCCTCTCTCTCACACACACACACACACACACACACACACACACACACACACACACAC